TCAACCGTCAAGCACTCAGACAGGCAAGCAAACGGGCAGGCATGCACACACACACAGACTTGGAAAACACAGCAGAATGTGGGAATCACGGCAAGGCATTCATTCCAGTGGCAAATCCCAGAAATCAGCAGTGTTCTCAGTCTGTGCTTTGGCGGGTCATTACATGTGCATGAACTGAGCAGCCTTCGAATGTGCAAAATGAGAAGGAGAGTATGGAGAAAGGGGCTGTGAGATGCAACCCCATCCCCAATCCCCTCCCCCTCCTTCTCCCCCTCCTTCTCCCACTCCTCCTCCCGCTCCTCCTCCCGCTCCTCCTCCTCCTCCCGCTCCTCCACCAAACAACATGACAAAGATCCCGCCATAGCCCCGCTCCCTCTCCTTCTCCCCCTCCTCCTCCCTCTCCTTCTCCCGTTCCCTCTGTTGCTGCTCCTCCCGCTCCTCCTGCTGCTCGTCCTCCTTCCGCAGCTTCTCCTGCTTTTCCCCCCGTTCCTCCTCCCCCTCCTCCCGCTCCTCTTCCCGCGCCATAGCCCCACTCTCGCTCCTTCCCCGCTCCTTCTCCCACGCCTCCTCTCGCTCCTTCTCCCGCTCCTCCCACTCCTCCTCCTCCTCCTCCCCCTCCCCCTCTCGCTCCTCCTCCGCCAAACAACGTGATAAAGATCCTGCCATAGCCCCGCTCCCGCTCGTTCTCCTGCTGCTCCTCCCTCTCCTCCTCCTCCTCCCTCTCCTCCTCCTCCTCCTCCTTCTCCCGCTCTCCCCCCTGCTCCCAGTGCTTCCCCTCCTCTTTCCCCCGTTCCTCCTGCCACTCCTTCTCCCGCTCGTCCTCGTGCTCCTCCCGCTTCTCCTCCTCCACCTATATCTCCTCCCCCTCCTCCGCCTCCCAAGCGTTCATTAACCACCTCCCCGTTTCCCCTCCCACTCCCCCTCCCGCTCCTTCTACCGCCCCTCCTCCCGCGCCTCCTCCGCCCCTTCCCATTTCTCCTCGTGCTCCTTCTCCCGCTCCTAACCCCCTTCTCGTTTCCCCTGCCGCTCCTCCTCCTCCCGCGGCTCCTCCGCCCCTTCGCATTTCCCCTCCTGCTCCTTCTCCCGCACCTGCTCCCGCTCCTCCTACCACTCCTTTTCCCGCTCCTTTTCCCATCCCTCCTCCCGCTCCCTCCGCTCCTCCCGCTCCTCCTCCCGCTCGTCCTCCACCAAACAATGTGACAAAGATCCCGCCATAGCCATCTCCTATGAAAAAAACAAAAGAAAAATTGCCC